GAAAACACAAAAACAGTGGCGTCATCAAGTTGCTCCCCCGGGAGGGAGAGGCGATATTGGTACCGGGGCACGTTATAAAGTTGGCCGCCGCACCAAAACCTGCCCCCCGGTCTCTCTCTCTCTCTCTCTCTCTCTCTCTCTCTCTCTCTCTCTCGAGTTTCCGACACGATTGTGTTCTATACCTGGGACGCCCCCGTGCTGTTTGAAAAGGGGAAAGGAGCTGACGCAGAGCCGAGAAAGGGATCATCCTAAAATTAGTCCGATTTTCTCGGATGCATCCGGTAAATTACAGCAGCAGGAGCTTGGCGCCTGTGAGACGCAGGGTAGGCCACCCCGCAGTACATGCACGCACAACAGGCGAGGTTTTGCCTACAGACCAGGCGCTATAAGAGCTGGTTCGTAAACGGCAAATTTGGAATTATCCAGGAAGTACGTTCGTGATTTGCAGTTACGAAGCAGACAAGTTCAACCTACGCAAGCTCACAGCTGTTTGACGCGACAGTTTAAAAATACATTATAGCACTATCATCATCAGACTCGGCTTATTTCCAGCAGATCCACTAACCGGTCAACCTCGCCGCCTCCACACTTTCCTCTTGGAAAGGTAAGCATGAAGCAGGTACAAATCGCCGAAGTGAAAACTACAAATAGTAATTATTTCTATTAAAACCAAATTAATTTTTTTCCCACTCCGAAACGGCCGCTCCAGTCAGGTAAGGGGCGCGGTGTGATTCACGCGTGGCCTGCACGCCAGCGGGCGCCAGGCGCCAGGCGCCAGCGGCTTTGTTTACCTCTGGTTGCCGTGGCAACGCCCCGGCAACGCTATCTAATATGAATACGGATGGGGGGAGGGGGGGACTTGTTGGGGGGGGGGGGGGGACTACAGCGGCAACCCCTGGCCTATCGAGGCCTGGCAACCAAACAGGCAACCGTGGCCCCCCTGGACTGGACTGTCGTGGCACCTGCCTGCTGTCCCTGCTGGGCCTGCCTCGGCGACGCACTTCACCCTGACCAGACCAGCCACTTGAGTTATCGACTGGCCTCCTTCGGTTCGGCGGGGCTTGGCGGCTCAACCGGCGGCCTGGGCCCCCGGGACCGTGCTTAGGAGTGCGCTTAGGGACTTGCGACCCGCCCCCTCCGCCCCTCGCCCCTTTCTCACCATGATAAGCTGGCCATGAGGCCCGCAATAAAGTAAGCAAAAGAGCCCATTTTCCACTGAACCGCCTCCCCACTCGCCCCGCGCTCTGGCTCTGCTCTCTTGACCCACAGCCACAGCGACCAAGGTAGTGAGTCAAACCGCAGGGGTCCGAACTAAGTGCAGAAATGCTCACCGTTGAGGTAGCCTATAGAAATGTTCAGATCGTTTTTCAATACTGCAAAGGGTTTGTTCGGGCGCGTACTACTACTGCTCTCCGAGGGCAGAGCAAACTCTCGCCGCCGTTATTTCCGCCCCGTTTTCCTCTTTTCCTCATAGCATGGCGCGCCTCGCTTCCGTCCGTCGAATCGAACACGTGTCCGCTGTCCGCGCGCCCCCCTCCCCCACGAGTCGGTCCCGTCCCGCCGCCTACTGCATCCCGCGCGCTCCGTGCATAAGGTGCCGATCTGGAGAAGTTCCACGCATTCCTGCGGAAGAGATATGCGAGGTGCAGTGCGGCGTGGCGGGGCGTGGCGGGGCGTGGCGGGGCGGGGCGGGGCGTGGCGGGGCGTGGCGGGGCGTGGCGGGGCGTGGCGGGGCGTGGCGGGGCGTGGCGGGGCGGCGCGGGGCGCTCCTCAGCCACACAGAAGATCGGGGATGGTTGCCAGAGAGGAGTACTTTATTCAAAAACTTGGTTTAAACTCTCAAAAAAAAAAAAAAAAAAAAAAAAAAATTAAAAAGATCAATTACAAATTTGAAATGACAGCTAAAATCAAACAAAAATAAAACACATCAAACTGAAAACATCTCAACATACCAGGTGGCTGATAAACCCCACTCACTTCTGTAGTTGTACTGTACCGCACGCAGGAGTGCGGGCGGGTTACCTACTAGCTCGGCCCGTAAGTCGCCGTGGACAGGGGCGATAGGCAAGTCCACCCGCACTCTTGCGTACGGTCCATTATAACTACAGAAATGCCCGCGAACAAAAAACTGAAAACTGGTGAACGCCTGAATTGATGGTGAAATTGCCCGTCGATCGGCCGCCCCGGGGCAAGGCCGCCAAGGCCGCGCGCACCTCCGGTCTCCGGTCCCCGTCGCCTCTGCTAGGCGAGAAAAGCGCATATCTTTTACCGACCCACTCCAACCGGCGCCCCAACTGACGTCACTCCGGTGCGCACCAGCTACTGCCGTTTGGGCGCACAAGTCCACGGCGCGGCGGCCGCCAGCCGCCAGCCCCGCAGACGCTCGGGATCGATACCGCCCCTGCCGCCACCGGAAGTGCACCACGGTGGCAAGTAGGCAGAGCGGCGTAAGCCTGCTGCTCCTGAGTTAGCTCATTGCTTATATTTTCAAAAACCAGTGAACATTCGAATGCAGCTCAAATTTTGCGTGCGGAAAAGGGGGGGGGGGGGATAAGTTATCGCCTGATTCTTCCCCTTATTTGACATAACTTGGGCTGCGCAGGGGCCTTTTTTGCATAATGCAGTGCAGAATGCACATGCCATGCCATGGCAGAGCAGCAAGTCAACGTCACTCGCAGCGGTGTCGTCTGCGGGGACACCTCCTCTGTGGTCGGGTGACCTACAAGACTCTTCACTGCCAAGGCCGCCTACCGCGCTCGCTCGCTATAGGCGCAACGCGCCCATGCACGGAGCAGAGAAAGGAGGGACGCGGATGCGGGATCTCCGACGACGGTCACGAAATGTCGTCCTTCCGCCTCAAGCAAGCATACTTCGGTAGTAGGTCGCAGAAGAAGTCCTGAGCGACTGTCAGCCCTTCTCGTACGACAGCTCCATTACCAGCTGATTCACTGTTCCACACTCGCGGTGGCGTGACGACGCGACGCCAAGGTCACCTCGCTGTCGATCTAAATGCGTGGGAGCGTCGGCGAGTGGCTCCCAGGATGTAGAAGACCACGCGAGCCTGTCTCCCTATCGAAAGCTGTGGCACTCTCTCACTCTGCCCCCTCCCTTATATCTCTTCATCATTAGGGCCCTCTTCTCGGTCCCCCGCTCCTCCCGCCACCCCAGCCTTGACATCGGTAGAGCTCTGCCTGTTTCATCAAACTGTCTTAGCATGGCATTAGAATAATCCCGCATCACCCTGGCGAAATAAAAGCCCGCCAACAGCCCTCTCGTTCATGTTTATGTATCCCTTCTGGCTTCTGGCGCATCGGTGTGTCGGGGAACTACTTCTTCTCAACGCCAGTTGCAGCGCGCTAAAACAAACAATAGACAGGTTTAGGCATGGCTCTGTAGACTATCGTAACGGTGGTGGTGGCAATAGCGAGGAGCGTCAAGCCGCGACTGGAGTTCAAAGCTCCCGCTTCTCCCGCAGTAAAACTCACAAAATTTCAGGACATTTTTTAAATTGTGAGGGGAAAATTGTATACTTTTAGTGGGGTTTCAGAGGTCAGAAAAAAAAAAACGATTAACCGTAAACCGGGGAAGAACCGGTTTAACCGGTTAACGGCCAAACATGTCCCGTGTCAGAACCGCGGTTTTTCGGGTTGTGTTTGAACTGAAATTTCAATAAAGAATGAAGCGCCCACTCCTTACTTGCTTGAAAAACGACAATAAGTCTATGTCAAAGGCCTGAAAGAGCCAGTTAAGTTTAAGAAACTTTTCTTTTCAACACGTAAAAAAACGGTGTTGCGGGAAAACCATGTGGTAAAGAACAAATCGGTTTGGTGAAAAAAAACCGTTTTTCTGAGAAAAAATCCCTCAAATACGCAGTTATTCATCATCTCTACATCAAAAGTTCCTGGCGAGAAGAGTGCACTGGGAAGTGCTTACCCGAATGACTTAACGGGAAAATGTTTGCTGTGTTAGGGAGCTCGGCGCCTGCGACGCTTAGGGTAGGCCACCCCGCAGCACAGGCATGCCTTGCAGGCTGGATGTTGCCTACCTATAAGGCGCCCTGAGAGCTTGCATAGGCTAAATTTGGCAATGTCGTAACGGTGATTGGCGTGCGCACTTTCTGGATGATCCCTAGTAAAGTAATGATAATACAGTAAGTGAGATGGGGACAACCTTGCTAGAGGAGGAAATCAGCTGGTGTTCGTGTTCAGGCAACAGGTTGTCGCCGATGGGAAAGCAGGGTGTGCCGATCCCGACCTCCGACCCACCGGTATCGAAGCCAGGGTCTGCAGTCTTGTGCTGCACAAACATTCCTGCATACTCACTCACCCAGTCCCAGGGGGTGGCGCTGGGGTATTTGTGGGGGAGGGTGGAAGAAACGCGAGGATCTGCGTTCCCTATCACCTCATTTAATTTGCAAATCGACATGGTAATGAGAACAACCGAACTAGTGGCGCAGAGAACGGCCAAGCTGGGCCAGGGGGAGGGGGTGGAGGTGGTGGCAAGGTCGGAGTCTTCACCCCCCCCCCCACCACCACCACCACTACCCGGCCGCACTTCACCCCTTGAAAATCTGCCGGAAAGTTGAGCAGGACGTTAATCCATTATACATGTGAGTCGAGTTGGCTGGTCGTCGCGCACCGCACACACATTTCGAACTTATTACTCGACTCGCTCACTCACTCACTCACTCAGTCACTCCGGCCTCTGACAGCGAGCCACACATTTCTAGGGGTGCGCCCAGGAGTTCATGTGGAAAATCTCGGAGGCGGTGTGATAGTTTGATTAACTGCACATGTATAAATGGCACATCTTCTTACAAGGAACATGCATCATTCTGAAATTTGCGCACATCGGTGAACACGTGTAAACGTGACCAAGCATAAAAATTTAAGAAAACGGCACGTACATTTAGAGCACAAATTTTGTGAAATGCACAGTATAGCACTGTACAAAACAGTTGTGTAGTGTACAAAGGCCGACGACACAGCGACTTGCCTCACCGTTTGGACTCCGCACGCGCTGCTCCTCGACGCAACACCCACCTGAAAACAGAGTAGAAAGAAGTCAGTCATTTGGTCAATAAAACAACTCCGCGGGGCGCCGAGATCATCATCTCCCAGACTCCCAGGGCGGCGCTGCTTTTAGTGCGGCACTGTCGAAACACCAAGGCGGGGGTCGGCGTCATTCCGATTCATGATCATGGCACCACTCGGGTCAAGTTCAAAATCAGTTACTCATAGCTCATTCCACACCTGGTCAAACAAACGTGTTTATAACTTTCCACGTCAATTAATGTACAAGTTCAGGTGTGCAAAGTTCATGGAACACACTGTGGTGTCTCACTCTATACAGGCCAATTTGTAGACCGTTCACAAACTAAGCAGCAGCACATCATTTGCATATCACTGTTACCATAGGATAGGCCTGTAAATGCGTGTAAATGTGTGAGCAAACTGTGAACATTTTTTACAAAACGTTTCGAATCTGCACATTTAGTAAGTTCGCAAGGTCAGGTCAGGTGGCTACAATATTATGGAAGGTGCAACATAAAACACCGATGTGTGCATATGGTATGGTTGCTCATTTGTCTCCCAAGTGCAGAGACACCCTCAGAGATTACTCCCCATCATAAGCATATCGGCAAATGTAACACGCCCGGCCTGCGGGCCTGCGGCTGCCAGCGGCCTGGGCGGGCCAGTGGCCTGGGGGGCCTGGGACTGCAACAGGTCCCCAGCGCCACACTTGTGGCGACAAGCCGCATGTATGCAAAGCAGCACATGAAGAAACATACATAGCGGCCAGGGTAATTATCTCCACCCCCACATCTCTCTCTCTCTCTCTCTCTCTCTCTCTCTCTCTCTCTCTCTCTCTCTCTCTCATCTTGCACTCCCTTCGTCTCTCCGCTTTTACGACCCTGCCTGCGGTTAGCAAGAGCAGAACTCCCGCTGCCCAGTCCTCGCCCGGACGTCCTTTGGGCAGAACTACTCTGCGAAATGTGCAACATCCATCGACATTCGTCCAAGGACACTAGGCGCTCACAGCCACAGTGTAATGACCAGCATGCTAAACGACGTAGACGCCTAGATTGCCAACATTTTGGCACTCTTTTTTTTTTTTAACTGTCAAATTTTGCCCGTGTTTTGGAGACTGCCATTTTTTTCCCTCGCTTTGCTTCCAAGTATTGTTATTTGAATCTGAGCTCAATCTGAATAGACAAATTGTGCTGCCTATGGGGGAGAGAAAAAACCGACTTCCCTTTCTGCACAGGCCTGAGGAGGTGGGCTGGCCAACTAATTTTGAGAAGTGGATCCTTTTCGCATTAAAAACAGAACCGGGGAAAAAAGGGATAATATTCATAAATTCGAAAGTAATCGCCTTCTCGCCTTCGTCGCCAGAGGATAATGAGTGTTTGAAGAGGGATGACTC